CAGAGACTTATATTACATATTGTAAAAAGGGGCATAATATGTCTCCTTTAAAACATTTTTGTAAATCAAAATAAAACTGAAATAAAATAAAATATAAATATTAGATAATAAAAACTTTTGTTGCCTGAAAGTTTAAGCACTAAAATTGCTAACTGAAAACTAAAACTGATATAAAATTACAAAATTTAAAATAAAAACTATTTCATTTTATTTATGAATATGAAAAAAAAACAAAATTTTTTTTTCAATGACAAAAGCACATAACAAAATTACAAAAAAGTTAAACTACAATTAAAATTAGCACTAAAAATATAAACATAAAAGACAATTCAAAATATTAATGAAAACTATAATAGTATATACCAGGCCTAATCAAACACACCTGAACAAGCTAATCAATGTCTTCAGGATTACTAAGGCTATAGGCAGGTGAGTTTTGTTTTCAGGGTTGGAGCTGAACTCTGCAGGACTGCGGCTCTCTAGGACCGAACTTGCCTACCCCTGGTATATACGATTCTAAAATAACACTGGTATAAATTATATTATGGTGCCTTAGAAGGCAAACAAAACACTCTGTTGAGTAACTAGTCGACTGGGCAGCGAGGCAGCAAAACTGCCTTTAGTTTGACTTCACTGAAAGAACACTCTGGGCCCAGGTCTACTATTTTAAATCAATTATCAAGCATAATCATATTATTCATGAATCATTAATCTCCTGCCACTGCCCACAGCAATAGGACGGGCCAGGGAGCATGATGGGAAAGTAAACCTCAGTACTGTCATTCAATGAAATGAAGAACAACTATAGACACATACTGTAGAGTATTAGATGCTATCATGTGTTTCTGGTTTGGGATGAAGCAGCACCGTCGATTCCATCCCTTTCGGCAAACATGTCCACAGTGACTTTAATTAAAAGTGCCTGCTTTAATTTGTGGTGTGCAATAAACGGATTACAGCAGTGGTGATTTAATTCCTGAAACCTCTGAACCTCTTAACCGGTCTTGTGAAAAAGAGCTTCACTTGAACACCCTCACATGCTTTTTACTGGGCTACTTTCTATGTGCTATCCCCCCCCTCCCCTCACTTTCTCTCCATCTAAAATGGTTGAGGTCACCTTGAGTCTGTTTCTATTTGAAAGTCATAACAGTAGAGTCCCTGTACTTACTTTCTCTTGTTATTTTTCTTTTTCTTTCTTGTCTCTCTCTTTTTTCTCTTTCTTTTTGCTTTATCTGGGAAAAAAACATTTTGCTGACGTTTGCACATCTATTTGGAGGAGACGTTTGGATAAAATCTACTTACACACACACATATGCGCACACACACACTCGGGCAAGCGCACACCGACCGTATGAGTGTACACTGGAGGACAACTTCAGCAGATCCAGCCAGCGTCAGCCCATATTTAAACATAGATTCCTGAGCAACCAAAATCCTGTAAAACCATATACCATATCAAGAGATGTGTGAAATATAATATAGTTTAAAAGTTCATAGTAATAGGACATGTCAGTGATTTGTTTGAAACTCTTTCTGACAATAATGAGTCTTGAATAAGTAAAGTGACCAGTGGATCACTGAGCCACTAACTACATTTACACCACCGTTCTAAAGTTTGTGATAAGATGTTTTTGAAAGAAGTCTCTTATGCTTATCCAGGTTGCATTTATTTGATCAAGTAAAAACAACTGTGAACTATTATTACAACTAAAGAATAACAGTATTTGAACTCCATTTTTATAGATTTTCAAATGCAATTTGTTCTTGTGATGGAAAAGCTGAATTTTCAGCATCATTACTCCAGTCTTCAGTGTCACATGATCCTTCAGAAATCATTCTAATATGCTGATTTGATATCCAAGAATTAACATTTCTCATTATAATCAATGTTGAAAACATTTGTGCTGTTTAATTTTTTTTTGTGGAAACCATGATACATTTTTTATTACTCTTTGATGAATTCACATTGCGCAACACCTCTCTTTTTTGGAGTATGCGCACAACACTGAGACCAATTTTAGATTAAATCACATCATGTAGGTCTGTTAGTCCGATTTTGCAAAAATCTGAATGGTGCAAGTTTAAGCTTTTAAAAAAAGAAGAATTACTGCCTTAGACCGACTGAAACCCAACTTTTGAAGTGCATGTACATAAACTTATTGAAAGTGCTAATGACACTTCTGCTTTGTGGCGGCAGCTGCAGCACTAAATGTGTGTTTGTTGAGTGTGTGGCCTACCTACTGGCAACTTGCTGTGCTCTGGAATCTATTTCAAAGCATATTCACATTTTATATATGTATAAGGTACTGCTAAGGAGGAAAGTGTAAGTATAGCAGGTCTTTTGTGCAGCAGAGGTCATGCGTATTGACCGAGAGGGTGTCTGGCCCTATTGAAGGGAGAGCAAGTTCTGACCTGCCATAGCAGAACACATGCTCCAGACTGTTTGAGATGGCATTGAACACTTGAGAACAGCTTTTCCAAGTCTGTGTAATTCATTCGTGGCCCCTTTTTTAGATTCGTATACTTGTCATAAACTTGTATCACTCCCAGTATTCGCCTAATTGATTTGTTTGAAAGGTGTTTGGCGGCGCTCTGACTGCCTGGTTAATATGTATGCTGTGGGCTCAACCAGGCATGGTTAGCAAAAGACGGATGTTGCATAGCATATGAGTGGGTAATTGGAAAACAGGTGTGGGTTTGTGTGTGTGTGTGTGTGTGTGTGTGTGTGTGTGTGAGACTAACCGTCTGTTTGATATCAGGAATGCCAATCCGAAAGACCATCATAGCTATGTGCGCGTCGTCAGGTGCATTGCTTGAGCTTCGCTCTCTTAGCTTCCGCTGTTGTTGCTGCTGATTAGCCTGCGTTTGGTGGGTGGGTCCAGGGTTGGACGAATACGGGTTGGCCGTGTGGCCTGGGTTGCCGGGTCGTAGCGGTCTGTCTCCTGGAAGTCGTCCAGCCATTGTGCTTTTTTGCCTGTGCCCCTCTTCCTTGCCTCCTCTCAAACGCCCTGGTCCTCGCCTGATGTCATCTTCATCGTCCACATCCTCTTCGTCATCCAACTCCAGCTCTCCGTTCTCCTCCTCGCCTTCCTTGTCCACGCCATCATCATCCATTTCCTCTTCCTCCTCCTCCTCCTCCGCCCCTGGATAAAGGTGTTGACTGTTTCCCAGCATCCTTTGCTGCTCCTCGTCACCGGAGAGGGGGCTGAGCGGCATCGTCATGGCGACAGGGAGAGTGGCACCAGCGGCAACGGCATCATCCCCAGAGACACACTGTGAAAAGAGAAGAGGAGTGTAAGCATGAGAAATAGTGAGAGGTGGATGATGAGAGGAGGAGAGAGCAGACTGAGAGAACAGAAGTAGGAGTTCGAGAGAATATAAAGAACAAACAATCCCACATCACTCCATCATTCAGCAGCTCACACCAAGTTGCAACAGGCCGTTCATGCAAGACGTTCTTGCATTCGTGCTGTTTTTAAACACACTAGAGTGACATCTTTGACAGTCACAACATCTCGCTGTTTTTTAAGCGTCTCGTGCCATAAGCATTACGTTTGAAACTCAGTGGAATGAAACAGAATCAAGACAAACTTCTTTTAACTTGACACAGTGTCTCAAAAACATGGCACTCATTGCAGGGGACTTCAGTGAGACATGTCGCAGTGGTTAGTGCATGTTCACAAAGAAAAACACTAAAGAACAGATACACGAATGCATCCAGTGTGAAGTCACTTAAATGAATTGTTCTCCCAAAAGTTTTAATTCTGTTATCACCATCCACCATCATCATCATTACTTTAAGAAACATATTTAAAACTAACATATTTAAAAAAAATCTGACATTAATTATATAAAGATGCTAAAAACTCTATATTTCTGATTTACCTGATAAAACTGCTTAAATATTGTTTTTTACGTTTTACTTTTTTTACAATCATATGCAGATTTGTTTTTGTTTTAAATCTTGTGCTCAAATAACACGAAAAAAATTATATAATTGAGATTTACCTTATAAAATTGCTCAAATATTGTTCTTCAATAGGAGCACTTTGAAAAAAATCACTGAGCCGCATGCACTTTTTTTGCTGATGCTCTAGTGTGCCTTATTAAGCACGAAAGTGAATAATAGCCCACTGCCATTATCTTGAATTGACAAAACCGGATAGTCATTAAAATTCTTTTGTGTTCAGATGAAAAAGAGTCATACAGTATTTAAATTTTTGCTAAACTATTCCTTTAAGAACAGATCAAATTGTCAAGACATTGACATTATGTTCCAAATCCACTGCACACCGTCGAGCTAGTTATGAACGCAAGAACAGACTCCGTGGGAACAGCCCCTCGGCAAGAAGCCAATTCTCATTCACAGATTACCACCTACCCCTCATGTCCCACTTGCCCTTATGCAAAACGATCACACTCCTTACGAGTGTGAATGAGAGTGAACTGTCAATGTACAGACACTCATGCTCTGCTTGTATTACAGCAGAAAGAAGATGTTTGGCTTCCACCGGCTCTGTCTCTCTACAAACACGGACTTGTGCACCTCTTGTATTACAGCACAGATGGGACTCTTGCTGTCGTCCCTGTGCACACACACAAACAGCACTCAACACAGTGTTGTAACTCCTCATATGTCCCAGATCAGTAACAAAACCACTGTAGCCCAGCACTCTCAGGCACTAAGAGTCTCTCTCCTTCAAATAGACCTCTTCAAAATAGGATTACTGTGTTTAGCAGAGGGAACAAAATACTTCTCTGTAGTGCCACTCACACCCAGCTGCTGTGTGGCTCAGATGCTGCACCCACACTTTAGATGTGGAGGATATCTTATGAAAATGTGTCTTGTTCTCGTGCCAATCAGCTGTCGTATCTGAAAGTGTTCACTATTGCCCATAAAATCAAATCTCTCACTCCATACACAGAACCTAGAGCAGAGTTTTCAAACTTGTTGATGCCAAGAACACTCAAATATGATCATGGGTGTAGAATATGCAGGGTTTTCAAGGGCCAGTGTGAATAAATCTAGATTTAAATTCAAAGAGACAAGATATGCATGACCTGACGTTTTATTTGTATCCAAAATGAGGCGATGTAAACATTATGGAGCGCTAAACACTCTCATGCATGTTTCATTCATACTCAATGCTGGAGGGCCCTTTCGTGCTGAAAGTCCAAAATGGACTCAGAGGGCTCTAGACAAAAATAAATAAATCAAGGAGCCATTGGCTCCTATAAAAAAAAAAATTAGGCACCAAATTATTTTTTTAGGTGCCACAGAATAAGCGTGTTTTATTTTTATTTTTTTAACACTTAACATTTCAGTCTGTCATGTGTTTATGTTTCATCTTTTCTTGTCTTTATCAGCATTTTAATCCATCTTGTAGATGTCCTGGGAACTAAGGATCACTTATATAGGGAACTAAATGTATTTTCCTACTTGAGAACTATATAGTCACAAAGAATTGTTTATTACGCAGAGTCTGTGCCAATATCACGGACCATAATTATTTCACCATCAATTGGCCATTGACTGTATTTTGGGCTCCTTCTCAATGCATCCTATCAATGTTGTCATATGTCCTGCACACTTCCAGCCTGTTTTTCTTCATTAGTAACATGCAATTATATAGGAGGTGTTGAATTTTACCTTTAGCTCCTTGCGTTCTTTTTTTATCATGTCAACAGGTTAAGTAAAAATATGAATATGCAATATAGTGCCTAAATTTAGCAAAATGCTCATCTTTATAGTTATTTTTTCTGACTGACTGATGAGCTTATGGACGCCGAATGGTTATTCTGAGGTAAATGCATTGTTACGTGGCATTGTTTACAAGCTTTACACGTTTTCCGCAGTTTGAAACACTGAATGAGCGATTGCATGAGACATTTTAGTAAGATGTACTATATCTTATAAAATAGCTTTTGATGTCCATTCATGTTTATTTCATACTATAGTTGTTATGAACCCAGTATGGGTTATATTTGTTGGTTGCTTGTTTTTTCCTCTGTTTGTTTTGCAGGATGGAGTTAGGGTGAGTGACGTCATTATGGCTGAGGACTTACACCTAGCTGATGGCGATTGCAAATTTAAAGGTGACATATCATGAAAATCTGACTTTTCCAGGTTTTAAGTGCTATAATCAGGTCCCCGGTGCATCTACCAACCAAGGAAACGTGAAAAAAATTAACCCAGAGTTTACACCCACGGCGCCATTATTGTGTTTTTGCGAGCAACAACGGTGTACTAGTTCTAATGCCATGGCGAAAGTCTGAGCAAAACATGTTAACTGTTCTGTCTTTGGCTGCACAGACGAGCACAGAACACCATAATATGTCTCCTTTAAGCAGTTCCCTTCAGTTGCGATGGGGCTTGCTCCCCCTTCCTCGTGTCGTTCTTGTTCTTTTTCTAATTTGTGACCCTGGACCACAAAACCAGTCATAATTAGCACGGATATATTTGTAATAATAGCCAAAAATACATGGTATGGGTCAAAATTATCGATTTTTCTTTTATGCCAAAAATCATTAGGATATTAAGTAAAGATCATGTTCCATGAAGATATTTTGTAAATTTCCTACTGTAAATATATCAAAAATGTATTATCATTAGTAATACGCATTGCTAAGGACTTCATTTGGACAACTTTAAAGGCGATTTTCTCAATATTTAGATTTTTTTGCACTCTCAGATTCCAGATTTTCAAAGTGGTATCTCGGCCAAATATTGTCCTATCCTAACTAGGGCTGGACGATAAGGCCAAAATTGATATCACGATATATTTCTTAATTTTGGTCGATACGATATAATTCTACTTTAATAAATGTTATTCCCTTTTTTTGATCATGATCCAACGTGTTGTCTCTTTCTTTGTCGCGACTTGCGAGCCGGCCGTGGCATAGTAGTAAAGAGAAAGATAATATGGGTTCACTTGCTGCTTGAACTGAGGCGCTAAAGCGATTGTTCATGCCACATTAAAGAGCGCCAAAACTGTATTTATTGTTTAATTTCATTATGAATTTGGCAGAATTTAAAGCTGATACTTTGTTTATTAAAATGTACCAAAGCACAAAGCTTATTGCGATTATTGGACGGCAAGTGTGCTACAAATAATATGAAGTTCACACATTAACAGAACACAACTAACTAATAACAAGAAGCCATAGTATCGATTATAAACTAATTGTTAATGATAAATTGTTAAAGTCCACACAGCTGACAGCTTTACCTGTTGCAGTTTGTTCAAGCTGCGCACAAAATACACTGTTTTTCTGCACTTTTACTTCGCACGTCTCCGCTCTCTTGTGAAACTGGCGCAGCCATGTTTCTGTGTGAAAGCAAAAGCACTTGATTTGGCCTCCCGAAAGTAGATGCAATGAGGAATCATTAGTTAAGATTTATTTACAACAGAACAGGACAACCCAGATGTTCGAATTTGTGCAACGCATTTTATGGCGGCAAGTGTGCTACAAATAATATGAAGTTCACACATTAACAGAACACAACTAACTAATAACAAGAAGCCATAGTATCGATTATAAACTAATTGTTAATGATAAATTGTTAAAGTCCACACAGCTGACAGCTTTACCTGTTGCAGTTTGTTCAAGCTGCGCACAAAATACACTGTTTTTCTGCACTTTTACTTCGCACGTCTCCGCTCTCTCATGCTGCCACAACTGGAGCTGCTTTCAGCAGGTGTGCTGTCAACGCTGCATTACATGCCACTTTTTAAATCATAACATGTAAATTTCTATAGTTGACACTAGCGACCTCAGCAAAAACTGCGACTGTTTTAGTCACAGTCTGGAGCCCAACTTACGACATGCCATGAAATCACTAAAAGGCATGATCCAGGATTGCTGTAGCCAAAGCAATCTCTGCTGTAACTGAGCTGAATAAAAAGAAACATTTTGACTGATGAAATGTGAAGACAATAATTGTTTTTGAAAACATTGTTTTTCAAGTCATTTCCAGGTAATAACAAGCATCTGAATAATACAGTGCTAATTGACATAGCATTTATTAAATAGCCTATATCTTCTGCTTTATTCTGTGATAAAAATGGAAAAAGTGTTTGTAGTAAATAAACAAATCATAAAATTGTCATTAAGAAAAAATATGATATAAGAATACAAATAATTGGTTATTGTCCAGCAGTGTATTTGATTTCTCAGATATATATATATATATAATTTTTTTTCCTGTGTGCGTGTGCGAGAGAGACAGGGTCACATCACAGTGGATTCAGCTGTGTTAATCGCGGCTTGTG